AATTGTCTTTGCTGTATCTGTTATTGTTATGAAACTTACTTAGTTTTTTTTCCTGCATATTGTGCTGTGTTGTTTTAACATACAGCTGTTGTTATAGTGGAAAAGAGATGTTACACCATAAGTGAAGATATATGCAGGGTTACTGACCCTCTTGGAAGCACAGTGTTGGGTGTCTTCTCAATGGTGAATAAACAAGCTCCCCCTTGTGTGTCACTAGGATAAGAGGCATTATCTAAAGAACCAGCACCTAATTGTGAAATTTCTGCTATGTGAGTGCTGAGCTTGGTCTAATATTTTGCATGACAAACAGGAAACATCTCTTAAGGACATGACTTTCAGATACTAATCCTCAGTCTTTAGTAATTTTTTAGGCCTGACACTTATTTATGTTTTTTGCTCCTCAACTTCCTCAGATTTATAAAGCTAATGATTCATTGCGAATAATCTTGATTATTGGCAGAAGTACAACTATATGTCTGCTAAATGCAACTAACTTTACATTTGTTATAGATTCAACTAAACAAACTGTATGTTTTTGCAATAGGCTGCTAGAAACAAAGTGCCTAAAGACACAATTTAAAATAGGCTCTTAGCTGAGTTTTGTGTTTTGCGTAGACACCAGTTCTTTCTTTGAGCTATGTGCCTTTTCTCTAGCTGTGGGTTCTCAATAATGACACCTGTCACAGTTAGCAGGGCAAACCGTGTGGAATTATTGAGAGACCCAAGATGCAGGCACTACTGATGTGAGGGAGCTTTATTAACGGAGAGTGAACATACAACAAAGGTTAGGGTGGCAAAAACAGAACTAAGAAAACCTAAACTGGGAAAACTAAGCAAAAACAAACCTTGAAACAGAGATGCAGGGAGACATAGGGAAAGAACACAGACGAACCAGCAACAGGCAGGAGAACACACAGGGCTTAAATACACACAGCAGTAATCAAGGGATGGGAGACAGGAGGGGAACACACCTGGGAGAAATCAGAGCTGACGAGACAGGGGAAACGTAAACTGAACACACTCACATGAGACAGAGACCTTCAGAATAAAACAAGAAACTTACAGACACAGAGAACCAGACAAGACACTGAACTTAACAGACAGACTCACAACCAGACACAGTGACACCATGGACAGACAGAGGGAACACAGAGAAGTGGGAGCAGGCAGGCACAGAACAAAACCCTAACGAATGGCAAACCTTAACAAAAGACATAACAGAATATACAAGAACATAGAATAACATAAAGGAATACAAAACACCGAGTCGTCAGACTCAGGGCCATGACAACACCGTTACTTGAAGAGAAGGTATTTTATCAAACTGGTGTTAATCACATGTGAACAGCAACTCTGCCAGTCTGCCGTCAGGTAACTCCTCTCTAGACCTCTAGCTCCCCCTACAGTCTGGGCATATTAACAACATCAAACACTGATACTAAGCAAATATGCATTTGCTGTTATCATTACATCATCCCCTTTTTAAAAATATAATAATTCTACTTTCATAAACATAAACGATCTCTCCTTTTACTTGTTAAACCAAGCTTTGTCAATTAAAGGTTAACAGCACAACTGGTTTTCAACAATCATAATCAGTTCAACACCAGTACACAATTATAGTGCAACTTGTGTAAATACTATGACAATATTATCTTCCAAACAACGTATCAACACATTTACCTCTGTTCAATCAGTCTCATAGGTGGCTTTACTTGTCTTACAGATCTTCTGTGTTTGTTCTTATGTATGTGTAGCTGTTCCAGGTGATAGTGTCTCCAGTGTGTGTTGGGGTTGTTCATCAGCCTCCAACCTCTATTCTACTCTACATGTCCGGAAGATCTTGGCGATTTTGTCTTCGAATAGCATCATCTTCTGCCTGAATGATGTATGATTTGGTTGATCTTCCTTTGGAACATTTGCTTTGTGGCGTTGTGCAGTATACTAGCAGGCTTTGTTAGAAGTCAGTACTACTGTCTCTTGCCTTGCTCAGCAGCCTCTTCACTGTTTGGACTGACTTTTCCACTTGTCAATTAGATTGTGGGTAATGCGGGCTCGATGTTGTGTGAACAAAGTCCCATTCCTTGGCAAACTGTCAGAACGTAATATTTGTAAAATTGCAGTCCATTGTCTGTGAACACTTCACTTGGCACACTGTGTCTTGCAAATATGGCTATCATAGAAGTAATTACAGCCTCTGTTGTTGATACAGAGAGAAGTAGTCTGCGACCACAATATAGTTCTTTCCTCCAAAAACAAAGATCCAGAAGATCCAAACTAAGCTTCACATTTTGCTTCACATAAACATAGTCATTAATTCCCTCTTACTTTTGCTGTTTTGCTTTCACCACGATAAAAATCACACCTCACATCTGCACAGCTCTCTCTCTCTCTCTCTCTCTCTCTCTCAGTGTGCTTCAAGAACAGTTTCCCATCTAAAAATCTCTGTTTCCTGCATTATTCTCTTGCTTATTACCAGTGATGGGAATAATGTTACTAACAGCATTATTTTTTTCAGTAATGAGTAATCTAGCTAATTACTATTTCTATTGTTACAACGCCAGTACTGTTACTAACAAGAAAATGTGGTGCGGTCGCGTTACTATTTTTCAACAAACAGACGGTTGAAGCTGTGTTCAGCTTACCGCATTTTATATCAGTTACACAGAAGTAGCTGTAAGTAATCTGGGCGCTACAGCTTTAAGCAGCTGCGCCCGCTTCCGCAGACAGCAATCACTTTCTGGCACACGATCACTTTTTGGCACAACACCTGTAGCTAGGGGGCAAAACAATTGCATGCGTGCTGTTGTTTGACTGAAGAAAAATAAAGTAGTCGTGGTAAGCCAATCACATGACCACTTCAAGATGACAAAGCAACAATGTGATATATACCAGTTTTTAAATTGTGTTGATAGGCCACGTAAAACCAGAGTCATGATAAAAATATATTTACGCGTGTTTTTCCTCAATAGTTTCGTCACGTTTATTGTCTAAGCTAAGGACAGCGCTAGCAAGCACTCTCTGCTTATGACCAAAAAATAAAAAAACAAAACAAAAAACATCCAGTTCGTGTTGACCAATCAAAAATGATATGGCAACATGACATTTGGTTGTTTAGAAAGATGGTTAAGTTTTAGGAGTGATGGTGAGAGAGAAAGAGAGAAAGAAAGACAGGAGAAAAAGAGAGAGAGCGAGTTTTAAGAAGTGAGAGATTTGTGACGTTTACCGTGTTTGGAGTGTGTAGTTAATGTGTTGCCTTTTGTAGTTAGTGTGTAGTGTAACCGGTGTGATTCTGCGTTGTGTCTGATAAAAAAAGGTAAAAGAAAGAAAGACCTCCAAGTAAATAATTTGCCCACTCCAGCTCCTCTCCCACAGGGGAATTGTAGAAAAAGGGGCTGGCATTTATTTTTACATTAAACATAAAATATGCATTTACACGTAACATATTTGATATAAGATAAAACAAAAACAACAACATGAAATCCGACATACCTGATAAAAAAGGTAAAAGAAAGAAAGACCTCCAAGTAAATAATTTGCCCACTCCAGCTCCTAGACCAAATACAAACAGTGGGGAAGAGGGTTAGCTCAACCCACCACAGCTCCCAAGCTAGCAAGGAGTATATATTCATGCTAGCATTTATGGCGCCTAAAACACATTTATGATACACACATACTACACACTTATCACATCTTACAAAAACAGGCTTAATAATGACAATAACTGAACTAACATCGCAATCATAAACATCAGGGTGGCTAATTATGAATTATGTGTGTTTTTAAGGTGTTGGAAAGAAATGACACCCACCTCTCCCACAGGGGAATTGTAGAAAAAGGGGAGAGGCAAAAGGGGTACACTGTATTTATAGTATTGCACCAAAGAAGAAGAAGAAAAGAATGAGGAGGGGCTCTAACTGATAATGAACACAACTACAGGCTTGGAGGTCCTAAAAGTCAGGTATAAAAGGAGCAGTTTGGGGGTTTAGAACACATTTTGTGTAATTATAACAATGTGATTTATGACTCTGTTACATAGTGTTGTGTGTCAGAACAATGGGGCGACTGCTGTCTCCAGGTAAAAAACAATGGGCCAGCTTGTATATTTTATATGCTTGTAGTGATGGTGGTAGCACTCATGTTCATGCAGGTGACAATGCTTGTGGTCGTGGCCCAGAGCCAGCTCATGGTCATCCTCGTAGGTGTGCACGCCTTCAGCATTCTTGTAGCCATCTTCATAACAACAGTACAGAGTGTGACTTTTATTTTTTAAATCTTCTGTTAGGACACTATTACAGCTTAAAATGAGAGGTGTGGGTGCTGTGACTGAGAATCTGGACAGCATAAACCACAGTAGAAAATCTATGTTTGCTAAACTTTCTTTGCAGTTGAAATGTTTACTTTAAACAATATTATAGAAACGTGTGCCCTTGTGTAATCAAAACAAATGGGTAGTTTCATATCTAGTCTTGGCAGAGACTAACTTGAAGCTTTATTTGTGAAGAGCAAGTTAGCTAGCTAGTACTGCTAACATGAGCATAAAAGGGTGGGGCTAACTGCAGTGATGCTAGCATTAACCGTGTTAGCACGTTACCTTAAACAGTTGGTTAGTCCACAGGTGTACACTCAGAGGTTCAGCTATTCATTTTATTGCAGAGAAGCTGAATCAATACTTTAGCTAGTTCCCAAATTTTTAAAACAAGTACCTGTACTTCTTCTCAGCTACAGAATGTCTTTACCTTTTGTCACCTGTATTCAATTTTTAAGGTGCCACAAATTTTTAACTCCACAGCATGCTGATTTATGGCAAGGATTCAGTTGTAACCTATATGGGAATTGCTTGGTTGGTGCAAAAAATATTAGCAGCCTTTTGCCAAAGCAAATCAGTTGTTTAGTGGAATCTATGAAAAAATGTGCATTTAAAACATTTTTTTTTGCTCTAGGACATGAAACGGTAAGATTGACTCATGCAAGCAGTCCTTTACTGACAATGTGTTTAATGTAGAAAAATGCAATGCCAAATAGTTTTCCTTCTTTTCATTACACTTGAGCCTTTGTGTGTGTATTTAAAAACAGTTTTATAGGCTTTATGAACTGGCTGCAGCTGGCTTGAATTCGAGGTCTTTAGTGAAGAGTTCATCCACATTTTTATGCTTTCCCGCTGTGGTGGGGCACTGGGCAGAGACTGATTTTGGGAAGGGCTCGATGGTGGGCTCCATCTGTCCAGGAATTTGAGGGTCGGGTTTAAGTGGGAGAGTGACTCCAACTCCAGGGCCACCAACTGGGACATCCGGGAAGGAAGGCAGAGTCACAGGCTGGCCCAAGGCGGGCAGGACTATCACTGTTCCCTGTGGTTCATCGTGGGGTGTGTTCTCATGTTCGTGCTCGTGGTGGTGGTGGTGGTGCTCGTGTTCATGCAGGTGACCGTGCTTGTGGTCATGGTCCAGAGCCAGCTCGTGGTCATGTTCATGTGTGTGCACACCTAGAGCATGCTTATAGTCGTGGTGGTGACTGGGAGAGTCACCGCTGTGGTTGTGTGCCTTGGCGTGATGAGTGTGCACGTGATCGTGATTCAGACCGTGGTCATGGGAGTGGTCATGAGCGTGCCTGTGAGCGCTGCCTGTGGCATGGTCATGTGTGTGGTGGTGATCACGGTCATCAGTGTGGTTGTGGGTGTGGCCATGATGAGAGCTGCACTTTGTGTGATCGTTTGCGTGGTCGTGTGTTTGGTCTTGGTCGTGGCTGTGTGAGTGTGTGTCATTGTGGCTGTGGTCAGTCTCTCCGCCCAGCAGGTGTAGCTTCTTCTCTCTCTCAGCAGCCTGGAGAAGAGATAAAGAGTGTAGGATATTAAAGAGTGAACAGTGTATTATAGATTTGCAACCTCTAATGGCCATGTGAATAAAATATGGTCTGATGTTTCCATCTTCAGATTTTCAAGGCCCACTTAAGTCCTGAAAATAACAAACAGCAATTCTGGCCTCCATAGCTATGGTCCCCCTTCACGACAACAGTACAGAGTGAATTTTATTTTTTAACTCTTCTATCTGGACAGTTAGAGCTTCAAAATAGAGGTGTACCAGGTGTGACTGAGAATTTTGACAGGCTAAAGCACTGTAGCAGATCTGTTTGCTAAACTTTAGGGGAACGGTGTTAACAAAACTTTGGATGTGTCCATCTGATTCTGTAGTTTAAAAAAACACATCCTCATTGGAATTATACAGCAAAGACATGTATAAACAGTTTGTGTTAATTTAGTGAGTTCCAAAACACTGCGTGCAGTGAATTAAAATTAAAATCACACAATCCACCAATCATTCTTTTTTTTTCTTATGCTGTAAAAAGACATTGAAGGTAAACAGCGAAACCATCTAAAAGAGTCTCACCTCAGGCTCATAGATCTCACAGGCTCCCTCAATCTTCTCATCGCCATTGAGAGCGTGGAAGAGGGATGCCTTACAGAAACCCTTGTGCTGAGGAGAGAAAAAGAAAAAAAAGTAAGAGTGCAATAATTATGCCTGTGGTTTTACTGTAGTATAAAGGCCATGTACAGTTTGTGCAAATGTTTCTTGTTTTAAAAATACTTTTGGACAATTTTTTTTGGATCAAGTTCAGTTTTTCTTATTCTCGCGTGTGAATTAACAGATTGGACCAATCAGACCACTGCATTTGGCAAGTGTGCTTGCAGCTCAAAGGCATACGAGTACAGAATATACAATGATATGGTAATAGGTTTTTAATTCTAAGCAGCTAGATGCTGCTCTGGGTCATACGGCTATCTGAAAAATATTTCTCTGCCTCCTCAGGTGTGGTCTACCCACAATAGCTCAGACTTCCTCACTGACGTCCTGAATTATGTACAAAAGCAGCTGTGATGCAGCTTCACCTCTTGGATTAAAACAAGAAATTCTTTTTGCTGCTGCCTTCTATTTAGAATTGGATGATGTCCAGAATGGACAGCACAGTGGCATGGTTAGCACTGTTGCCTCACAGCAAGAAGGTCCTGAGTTTAATTCCACCATCAGGCCAGGGTCTTTCTGTGTGGAGTTTGCATGTTCTCCCCGTGTTTGCGAGGGTTCTCCTCCCACAGTCCAAAGACATGCACTTTGTGGGGATAGGTTAATTGAAAAGTCTAAATTGCCCATAGGTGTGAGTGCAAATGGTTGTCTGTCCCTGTGTGTTAGCCCTGTGACAGACTGGCAACCTGTCCAGGGTGTACCCTGCCTCTTGCCCTACGACAGCTGGGATAGGCCCCACACCCCCCGCGACCCTGAAAAGGGTAAGCAGAAGCGAATGTATTTCTGGATGAATCCAGAATCTCAGTTTCTTCATTTTCTTGTTTAGAAACCTTACGACCAACTCATCGTCACTTGATGCCATTACACTACAAATTTGCATCTGAAAACTTTGTAGTTTTATGTTGTTTTTTCTAAACTAGGCGAACTAAATATCAAAGTAATCTCTTGCTGTCATACACAAGCCACTGATATGAAGCTAGAACATACTAAGCTTTGAGCAGCAAATGAAGGTCTTTTCCTTGCACTGTTAGAAAGTAAAACAATCCCCTAATGGAGAAGGTGAGTTGAACTTGATTTCATTTGAGAATAAACAGGGCAAAACCTAGTAGATGAAAGATTAATAAAAGACTCACAGCAAACTCGCATTCCATGGGGGGGCAAGGTTCATCTGCTCCTGCCCTCTGGGGGCAAGTGGTCTCCTGGATGATGTATTCCACATGGTACTTCCTACCTGCAACAACCTGGACGCACAAAGACACAGAGAGAAAGGAAAAGCCCAAATTAAGGAAGAGACTTGATATAAAATCATGTGTGAGAATTGGGGCAGCATAGTTAGTGATGTTCTGTGGCGGTGTGGGATACAGCAAAGTTTTGGTATAGAATACATTTTAATAACCACTAAATTACGGTGATTCTTTTTTCACACAGTAACTAGTTAACAGAATGACCATTGGCAAGTCTGGAGGTGGTGTAGCGCCCCCTGTCACGAAAGTAAGACATAGTCCAAATGCAAAAAAATGAAAAAGATTAAAGTTTTAAAAAATATTTTAAGCACTATTCTTGTTCTTATTTTTGTCAGAAATATGTGATTAAGGAAGTTGTGTGAAATTTTCCCGTTCTGTTTAATTAAAGTAAATCAATTTTAATTCAGTTTTTTTATATAGTCTCAAGGCATTTTATATTGTAAGGTAGACCTTTCAAAAATACAGAGATAACCCCAGTAATGAAATCACCAGTGGGAAGGAAAAACTCCCTTATAACAGGAAGAAACCTCCAGCAGAATCAGGCTCAGGGAGGGGCGACCATCTGCCGTCACTATTTGGGGAGACAAACAAATTAGCTTTGTTTCTTCTGTTTTCTGTCTGTTTCTTCTTGGCTGCTGGGCTGTGGTCTGGTAGGTTCAAAACTGAGATACTTTTTAGTGCAATATTAGAATGTGACAAGATGAATGGAAAACTGTATACATTTTATTTCTTAGAACCTGGAACCTCTATACGTTGCTCCACTTTGTCACTTTCTGCAGCCTGCATAGTTCTGCTTAGTGCTGCTGAGTCATGTGACCGCAGGTCAACGAAACACAGCAGAGCAGGGAAGAGTGGGTGGAGCAAAATGTGTCTTAATGTAAGTACCAGAGTACCATTACAGTAGTAGTACCAGATTAGGTATGGATACAGTCAGTATCAGTCCAGGCAGAGCAGTGCCACTACCATAAACATTTATGTGCCTCCTTTCTGTTTATACCAGATTTGGTAGAAAACTTTATGAAATATTATACAGTTTATGCAAACTTTACTTACAGGCTACTGTAGTTGTTTAATCTAATTTTTGCGTAGGAGCTTCTCTGTGTGTTTCCATTAAATTTGATGGTGTAAATTTGTAAAGGGGAATTCTGCCACCTTATTCTCAGCCTTGACAGTGCATGATGAGAATATATATCTATACAATAAAAGAGCCGAGGATACATTATGTCACACATCTTAATTTTGATCTCCCTACCTGTGAAGTAGCACGGGAGATCTTGAGCAGAGCAAAACGATTGGCCAGCCCACTCTGCTGATTGAACTTCTCCAGAGACTGAGTCACAGCCTTCTGAACTTTATCGTGATTATGGTCAGTTAAACCTGGACAGCCACCACAGGACTGATGCACCCTACCTGCAGGAATTGAGCAGAACAAAAAGTCATTTTAATTATGAAGAGACTGCTGCACTCCACAAAAACATGTTTTAAGTCTGGACCTTGATGTCTTTTTAGATATAATGGTTGAATTTGAATGAAAACCACAATCACTTCTTTTTGATACGTGTAATATTTTTCATACCTGGTCTGATAGCACACTTGTATTTGTAGAGACGAACCACTCTGTGTACCTTACTGATGAAGATAGCAGCTTTGCACTGTCCATATACCTGCAAACACAATACAATACATGATGTTAGTGTACTGCTCATACATACAGCATCACATTCGCAAAAGAGTTTATTTAGATTTTTTTAATACCTTTTTATAAATTAGTTGAAAGAACAATGACAATATCTTGTGATACTAAATATCTTTATTCACCTGCCAACTTATGAACTATTGCTTATGGAACACAAAACTAAGATGCTCACTATGTTAAAAAAGAAAGATTTAAGATTGTAAGAAAGCCTTAAGCAGAACACAAGAGACAGTAATAAAAACAATCAGGACTAACACATGTATTAATTACATACGCATACAGATTTTTGGTAAACTTGTTGATGAGAATTTGCACATGCAGTGTTTGTGTGTGTTTTTTCTAACCTGCGTATTGCCACTACGAATGTCACAGCTCTTCCAGTCCCTCTTGCTGAGAACGCTGCAGTTGGTCTCCACAACATCCAGATTCAGGTAGAAGACCACACCATTCTCTCCCTGTAAAACACACAAATTTAATCAATCATTATGTACAGTCAATAAAACGCTAATGGAATTTTTTTTCAGTGGTTACTCGTTTAATTTATGTTCTGATCTTTCACATGGTCATTTGTTTTTCACGTAAGTTGCCTAACATGGCATCCCCCCTTCAAAAAAACCCCCCAAAACAGTCTGACTTGTCATACTTACTTAAAACATTGGTTTAATTTGTTTTTGTTGTCTCATTTGGTCCAATCACAGTGAAATGTTTTTGGAACGTATTTGTTTCATGAAAATGTTTCTAACTAACGTTTTCTCCAGACTTTTAGTCAAATCACTTTATGATTTTATGAATTTCAGTATTCCAGTAATGCCAAAATACACTGAACTTCTCTGGACTCTGCTAGAAAGTAATTCTGCCTTAAACAGCTCTGGTCTACCACACAGTAATAATACTGCAAGCTCAGCTTACATGTCTCTTTATGTGGGCGTTGGACAGGCGGTGCAGACTGAAGATGTAGCCCTCCTTTCTGTTCTGGTTGATTTTGGTAAGAGCCAGTTCAGCAGCTGCTTTTGTTGAAGCATCTTCACATGAGCCTGGTTCTATGCCACCACGCTCCACTGGTGCACCATTGATGATCACACAACCCAACGCCAGCAGCAGCGATAACAGCACGCAGGTCTTCATGGTAAAGGCCTGGGACGACTCTCTCTCTTTAACACCGATGTGCAGAGATGGAGAGGTCACATTTTATATCCTGCTACTGTTTAAGTCCCCGCCATTCCACCCACACACACCTCTTGTCAATGGTAAATATAACCATTGATCCCTACCTCTCAAAAAGTCATGCTCACCTAGCATCCAGACAAACATTTACAGTGCACACTTGCACAACGGAGCTTATCAGTTGTTAGATAATCACTCATGCAATCGATATTTTCTTTTGGATCAGCGTGTGCAACCAGTTTGTTGAAGGTCATATGATCTACTCTCGGCACTGAGTTAAATCAAGGACAAAGCTTAATGTTTGTTCAATAAAAACAGCAAAAAGGTAAAAAATGATGGCGAGTAATCAAAGCAGCAACTAATCTCACAATGCTATCCTATAGTTGAGCATGCATTTACAACTTGGTGGGATCTGGGGTCAGAGGAGACTGGACAGAACACACACAGAGCACATGAAAGATAAGATCACACATATGAAAATACATTTAAAAATTATAAACTGAATCTTACATTCAATATCATAAATAGAAACTGAAACTGAACACAGTATACTTTTCTTATTAACAACACTAGAGCTAGCTATTCATTCTTTCTTCATTCCTTGTTCTTTCTTCATTCTTTATTCTTTCTCTAGCAGCCTAAGTGACTGTAAATTTCAGAACACTGTCACATTCAGCATCAGGTTTTTAAATTCAGCCTCTTAAAAGCACATTTTAATGAAATTACTATAAGTAATTAGATAATAAGCTCACTTTGTTTTGAAGTATTTGTTTGTTACATGAAGCAAAGCCACAATTCATAAATGTGCACACAGGGAGAGTCAGTTGTTTCCTTGGTGGTTGGTTCATTGTGATTTTTGGCTCTGGGACAGTCTGGGTACACATTCACCACCATATTAACACAAACTAAATGGGAGGATGAAGAGGGTGAAAGGTCAAAAGAACATAGCATTTATTTGTGCAAACGGACGGTTGGTGCACAGCCATTTTCAGATCTCTCCAGAGATGTTCAATTGGGTTCAAGCGTCTCTCTCTCTGGGACACTTAAGAAGTGGTCCTGAAGCCACTCATGTGGTGAGTCCTTAGGGTCATTGTCCTGTTTGGAGGTCTGAGGTTTAGAGCACTCTGGAGCATGAAGATTGACCGTTGGGTTCTTGGCATCTCCCTGACTAAGGCCTCGACTCAGACATGATATCAGAGGTTAGTTAACAGAGAGATCTTTCTCCTGGATACACACACATTTAAATAAGCACTTCTAACTCTATTTGCTTTCTTCTTTCTGTGATGTTTCTAGGCTCTCCAAAGAAGGCTGCTGGTCAATCAGCTGATTATGTTGCCACATGCTTTTTCTTTTTGTATGCTCATCTTTTTGTGCACGTATTTGCTGAATGTTCACCTTGACCTGGTCTCGAGTGTACAAGAGCAATATCAGTATCAGTATTGACAGGGAAATCTTCCTTTGCAGGACCTGTAAGCCTAGTTTTTACAGGGAGAATTGTGACAGACACATGTGAGACTGATGGTGGACTTTCTCCTCTTCTATCTGTTGCTCTGGAGGCCAATGGCTGGCTCAGACAAACTGAGGGGCCATAGTGCACTAGGGAAGAGAAGAAATCAATCAAGAACTTATCAAATTCACAAAAGTAAGTGTCACTACAAGAAAAGAAGTGAAATTACAGGCTTTTTTTTTATCAACGTAAAAGATATATGACATTACCCTGGCCTGCAGTAACACTGTGAGAAATCTTGGAGTCATTTTGATCATAACTACTGTCATTCATTTGCTCAACTAAAACTAGAAACATCCTGTCTCAGAATGATGCTGATAGGTCACTTCACACTAGGGCTGGGCCATATTATACCGTTCACGGTAATACGGGCATAATGTTAGGCAACGATAGGAAAATGAAATATCGCGATAGAATATGAGTAAAACGCCCATGCGCATTGCCTTTGTTTTCATACGCACATGGCCGATTGTTGAGTGAAACAGATGAACCAGAATTGGTTTGTAAAAATGGTGCAACTTCAGTGATGTGGAACTGGTTTGGTGTTTGTCCGTCAGATACACGGCAAAGCACATTTTTTTGCAGAACAGGCAAGCGGCCGTCGTTATTGTCGTATTTGTCGGACTAAGATGCTCTTAAATCTGGGAGTAATCTGGGTCCTAAACTCTGTATTCTTCAGGTCAAACGAACACTGCAACATCACTGAGAGTTAAAAACTGTCTAAATTCTTTCATCTCTAATAAAACGATCAGCATTGCTGCTTTACCAGCTGTAACTATGAAGTTTAACTTCCAGGCATCCATGAAAACAAAATTTATTACATTTAACGGAGTTAGAAGTTAGCAGGAAGCTAGCGGAAGTTAGCTCGCTAGTTTCGCTAGTTACCTAAGCATGCTATAGCATGTTCTGACTGAGAGATTTCTGAAAAAAAATCAAATGTACAGCTCTGCTATCACTTCCAACATAAATGAAGACAGGAAACTAAACAGCAGTGACGTTTGTAGGGTTACTGAAGTTGGGCTAGCTGGTATATAATGATGTGCTA